CCAAACCTGCAGACCTTGTGAAATCTAAGGAAGCAAAACAAATGACGGTAAGAGGCAACACATAAAAACAGTAGGGACAGGTCAATACAGGCAACCAATCTTACTAATACGTGTAAAACAGAACCAGTTATCTTCTCCTTCATCAGTGGGTGTAGAACTTGTACACTCAAGTGCTTAAGAAATAATGACCAAATGGGGAACTGCCCTGTTTAAACTCAAACAGAAATCACGATGAGCACAAGGAGATGGTGGTGTAGTGGTAACAGCACCAGACTAGTAATCCAGAGGTACAGGCGAAAGCTCCAGGAACACAGATTCAAATCCTACTGTGACAGCTGATGGAATTTAAATTCAATCATTGAAAAAAATCTAGAATTAAAAGGTAGTCTCAGTAAATGAGCATGAAACCATCACAAAAATCCATCAGGTTCATTAACATCCTCTACAAAAAGAAATCTGCAGCCCTTAACCAGTTTGACCTAAATGTGACTCCAGAACCAAAGCAATGCAGTTAGCTCTCAAATGCCCTCTAAAATGGCCTAGCAAATAACTCCGTTCAAAGGCAATTAGGAATTGTCAGCAATGCTCACATTGCTTGTTTGGTAGCACAGAATTTGATTGCTGCTGAAAAAAAAAAGTTTGTCAAAACTCTTCAGCTTGTACTCATCAGGACAATTCAGAAGAAACACCAACGTAAAGGGAAAACAACGTTATTACCAAATGAGAGGAGGGTGATAATTGGTAGAGGCATTGCTGTTTCAATCAACAAAACTGGTGACAGCCATTCTCCTGGCAACATCTTGACCAATCAGAGTCAATCTGCTTGACTTAACATTTAAACAAAGCTTGGCAGTTAGCTGTCAGTCATCATTAGTTGGTGCACCCTCAATGAAATGTCTCTATCTTGACATATATGTCTTCTTAAAAAAAATAGATTAATATGCACAGTTATTGCAAAACACAATTTTGAATTCCTTTGGGTTTATCTGTTCAAGGGATTCAGTAAGGTAGACAGTATTTATTTTTGATGAGAAAATCCAAAACAAGGGAGCCAAAATCTTTGAACTCAAGTTCAGCCATCGCGGAATGCGGTTAGGAAGCAGTTTTGCACACAAAGGATGGCAGAATTCCCTCCCCCAAAATGCTGGGATCATTTAAATTTTCAAAACTGGCATTGACAGATTTTTAGGGCATCAACGGCTACAGTAAGTTGAAGTAGAGGTTAGTCATGAATGAGTAAATGAACAATAAAAGAGAGCTCAGTGGGCCAAACTACCTCCCGTTTCTATCCATTCTGAATATTTTTTTTTACTTGAAAGGATAGAAGATCTTCAGAAATTTTCCTTCATTTGAGAAGCACAGACCCCTTCGGGGTCTAGGCCCGAAACGTCAGCCTTCCTGCTCCTATGATGCTGCTTGGCCTGCTGTGTTCATCCAGCTCTACACCTTGTCTCGGATTCTCCAGCATCTGCAGTTCCTACTACCTCTGATTCAATTTTAATCCCAGCCTTTCCAGTCTCTCTATAGTCCTTCATTCTGGGAAATCCCTCCCACTGTCACTGGAATCCTTTCAGAGATGCTAAGCTCAAAACTGGACACATTACTTGAGCAGAGGTCGAACCTGTAATCCATAATCACTTGGGCCACATGGAACTAGGAGCAGGGTAGGCCATTCAGCCCCTTGAGCCTACACTGCCATTCAACTTGACTGTGGCTGATCTTCTATTTCAATACCATTTTCACGTGCAATCCCATTTCCCAAACTTATGGGTGGGTGGAGCTCGTGGTGGAGTAGTGGCATTGACTAGTACACCAGAGAGCCAGGCAAATGCTCTGGGGATATATGAGTTTGAATCCTACCATTGCAAATGGTGAAATCTGAATCAAAGAAAACTGAACTGGTAAACTAGCCTAGTAGCAATCACGTAACAATTGCTGTAAAACCCCACCAGGTTCACTAATGCCCTTTAAGGAAGGAAAACTGCCATTCTTACTTGCTCTGGCCTACATGTGACTCCAGACTTACAGCAATGTGGTCGACTCTTAACTGTCCTCTATACTGGCCCTAGAAAGCTGGTCAGTTTAAGTGGCAATTCAGGTTAGGCAGTAAATGCTGGCCCAGCCAGTGATGCCCACATTCCATGAATAAATGTTTTAAAAACATATCTCAGATATCTAAAAATCTATTGATCTGCTGGACTGATCCTCTACAGCTGTCTGAGGTAAAGAATTCCAAAGATTCATCTGAGTGAAGAAATTTATCCTCATCTCAGTTCTAAACGGCCTATTTCTTATTCTGAGACCATGACCACTGCATCTAGAGGCCCCCAACCAGAGAAAATGTCCTTCCTGCATCTCCCCTTTTAAGGCCTGGAATAATTTGTATGTTTCAATGAGATACCATCGCATTCTTTTAAATTTGACAGAATACAGGATTAGTGTCCTCAGTCTGTTCTCACAGAACAAACCCTCCAGCTGGAAAATTAGTTTGAACCATCATTGCACTCCCTCTATGGCAAGTATATCCTTCCTAAGATCAGGATACCAAAACTGCACACAATACTTCAGGTGTGGTTGGCAAAGGCTCAAGAGATTATAGTATCCATTCAGTATAAAAACAATGCCTCAATTTACAAAGTCAAAGATCCCATATGATTTAACAACAGCCATACCAACTGGTCCAGCCACTTTCAAAGGTTTTTGTATGTAAACACCTCAGTCTTTCTTCCCTTAACTTGATGCAATGAAACTGTGCACAGTGAAATTCAGACAACTAAGCCAATGTTATTATTAAATGTCAGAAATTCAGCTCAACCTATCATTGTACATGATCTGTGATGCAGTCAAGCTGATAACCTCCTGTCATGCTCCCTGCATCACTGGCGCCACGCGAACTACTCTGCCCACTCTTTTTCATCTAACTTGGTCAACATAACCTTTTACTTTCGCTCCCATGTTAATCTAGATTCTTCTTAAAAGTTATTCAGCTCTACTACCGACTGTTCCACATTCCACATTCCACATTCTCACCTCTGAGTAAAGAGGATTCTCCTGAATTCCCTGTTGGATTGATTAGTGGCCATCTTGTGGGCCCAGGATTTGGTCTTGCCACATGTGGAGCAGATATTTCTACATTTACACTCTGAAACCCCTTCACAACCTTAAACCCCTCTAGCAGCAATCATCAGTGAGGATCTTGAGTCAAAATCCTAGCTGTTTTTGCTTCACCAACAGGCCACTGTCAACAACAAGCCACCGTCAACAACTTGCACTTAGTAGCATCTTTAACGCAGTAAAATGTTCCAAGGCACTGCATAGACAAGATCAAACAACATTTGACATGGAGCCTTGCATGGGGATATCAAGACTGGTGGCTAGACCATTGGAGGTAGGCTTTAAGCAGATATAAATAAGTGGGTTGTTTTCTGAGGAATAGTTGGCAACAGACTGGGTTTGTTTTCACTGGACTTTAGAAGAGTGAGGGGTGACTTGATCCATGTATATAAAATTCTGAACAACCTTGACATGATGGTCATGGAAAGGATATATATGCTTGTGTGTCTGTGTGTGTATAATTTTAAGCTCAAAATGCACAATCACTGAATACACGCCAAGAAAGATACATTCCCATTAAGCAAGAAAATCAAACAATATGCACAAATCAAAGATTATGGGGGTTGGTGGGAATATGGAATGCAAAACACAAACAGATTCATTGAATCCTACAGCTGGCTCTAGGGACTGAATGGCCTACTTCCACTCCTAATTTAGATGTTCATAACAGTCTTGGGGTAGCCAGGTAAAGATGTTTAAGGAGATGATTCCAAAGCTTACAGTTAGACAATTAAAGGCACCAAAAGATGCCAGGAATGGAAGAACACAAAGATCTAGGAGGACTATAGATAAGGTTCCCTCTGTTCCCAGTGCGGCACGTTCCAAATTCAATCAAGCAACACACAACCACTGTTCCTTTTATGACATCCATCCATCCATCCATGTATCTGTCTGTCTGTCTGTTCCCGCCATACAATTAATGGTGAAGCCACCACTGATGAAAACGCCACCACTGAAAGTTGACAGGGATTCTTTAAAATCTCGATCAGGTCAGCTTGTACAATTGAAGCTAACACAAACAGCAGAGTTAAAGGCCACATATGACTTACCGGACGTCTCCAACATAGTGAGTGGCCCAGGCAAGCCGTAGCCGGGACCGGCTCAGCATGTGGATAAAGTTAGTCACTCCAACAATGTTGTCCGCCGTCTCAAACGCTGCATTGCCCCGGCCCAAAATGAGGACTGTCTGCCCAACAAAGTCAGCAGGATCCACAGAGACACTCTCATAGCCCTCGACATGTTCGGAACCTGGAAAATCAGGCGTGTTGGGCACCCACATTCCAGTTGCAACTAACAGGACACTGAAAGGAAAAAGGAAAACAAGAATGATTAGCTTGCCATTAAAACAGAAGGGCTGTGCCCTTCACCTGTCAATCCTCATCACTCAACAATCCTATTGAATAACACATCTGGCAGCACACAGACATGAGACATGCTTTGAGGCCAAGATGGCAGTCACTTAAAGCTTAAGGCTAGTAGCATGAACCATAGCTGTGAAAGGTATTTTTACAGTCAGCATTATTCAATTTGTGGAAATCTTAGGTTTAGAGGAAATAGAAGCAGGAATAGGCCATTTAGCCCATTGAACCTGTTCTACAATTTAAACAGATCATGCCTGATTGCTGTCTTGAACGTACTCAACAATAGGGCTCCCACAGCCTTCGGGAGTAGAGAATTCCAATGTTTTAAGACCCTTTTGAGTGAAGAAATGCCTCCTCATCTCAGTCTTAAACAACCTACCCTCATTCTAGTGCTGTATCCTCTGATTCAGAATACCCTGCCAGGGAAAATATCCTATCTACAACAACCCTGTAAGAATTTTATGTGCTTCATGGAGATCACCTCTCATTTTCCAAAAGGTTAGAGAATACAGGCCCAGTTTTCTCAATTTCTCCTCATAATACAATCCTGTCATCCTAGGATTTACTCTGGCGAACCTCCAAAGCATTTTCTATGTCAGGTACATCTTTACCCTGATAAACAGACTAAAACTGCGTGCAATATTCCAAATGTGGTCTCACTAAGGCTCTATACAACTTCAGTAAGGCAGTTTTATTCCTGTGTTCACAAGACCTATAACCTATTTTAGTTCAAAGTCGATGATGTAAATTGAAGGATTTTATTTTTATCTGGTCTGGGGCTGACACATCTCACAATCCTGGACTAGGTACATTACAAAACACATCTGACTGTTGATACATTAGAATGTATCTAACCACTTACATTCTGTAATGCAACCCAGCTCAGTGTTAAATCCGGTTAGCGCTTGCCTGAGCTCAGAAATTCCTTCCTCCTCCTCAACCTCGCTAGGCTGATATTAGGGTAGAAATGAGTGAGGCTTAAAGGCATTCTTTTGCAGGATCTCAAAACAGGGCATTCCTTTCTCAATGGAAAAGGAATCAATCATGGTTCACTGGTTAGCATCCCATGATGGCCTCATGGTGCTGTACAGTCAGAGTTCTGCCGGAGAATATAAAAGATGCCATCTCACTATTCAGATTGCAGGGGAGTTTTGCTTTGATGCCCTGGCCAATATTGCTTGCGGACTCCCTTTTAGGACATAAATGAGGTGACATTTTCTTACTCAAAGTTATATGCAACTTTGGAGCTCAGTCGCAGAAGGCTGTGAAGATAGGATTATTGAATATTTCCAAAGGTGAAAGTAGCCTGATTCCCTTGCCTAACAGGAATCAAAGGTTGTATGGAAGAAGATGGGAATGTGAAATCCAGAACACAAATAGATCAGCCAACATCATACTGAATGGCAGGGCAAGCTCAAGGGGCTGAGCAGCTTACTTTTGTTCCAAGTTCATCTGTAATATTTATTCCTCTATTAATATTGCTAAAATGCCTTAATTGTTCATTACTGTGTCACTGTTTGTGGGAGCTTGCTATGCACCAACTGGCTGTTTGTTTCTCAACTTCAAAAGGTACTTCGTTGCCTGTAATGCATTTTGGGATTGCCTGAGGTTGTGAAATGTGCCAAATAAATGAAAGCATTTCTCTCACTAGCTTTCTCAATAGCAAATGGATCTCTAGGCGAGCTGATGTCTGGAGCTGTGTGAGGAAAACAAATCTTCCCAGAAAATATGAACATGAAGAAAGACTGAAGGTAAGTGAGCACTTCTCAAAAACTTTGCAACGAACAGTTTAGACACACCTTCAATTACTGATGCTTCTCTGCAGAGTCAGCAGCAGGCAGTGGCATAGTAATAATGTCATTGACCTGATAATCCAAAGGCCCAGGCTAATACTCTGGGGTCACAGGTTCAAATCCCATCACAGCAGCTGGTGGAATTTCAGTTCAGTTAATGAGTATTTCTGGAATTAAATGCTAATCTCTCAATAATGGTGTAACTATGGAACCATTATTGCTTCCCATAAAAGCACTTATCTGGGTCACAAATGTTCTTTAGAGAAGGAAACCTGCCAATCTTTCCTGGTCTGGTCTACAGGTGACTTCAGACACAGCAATATGGTTGAGTGTTCACTGCCCTCTGAAACGGCCCAGCAAGCCTCTCCACTATATCAAACCACTATAGAAAAGTTAAAAATAAATGACATCGGATGGACCAATCAGCATCAACCCAGCCACAGGAAATGACAAAGGCATATTCAGCCCTGACAAATTTACAAAGTCTCTCTAACATCTGGGCAATTAGGCCAAATGGATGCGCCACCTTGGCCCTCATCTGGAGGTCCCTACCATTGCAGATTCTCATCTTCAGCCAATACAATCCACTCCACAGGATAAAGACACAGGTGAAGATGCTGGATACTGCAAAGGCAATGGGCCCTGACAACATTCCAACAATAGTTCTGAAGACTTAATTTCCAAAACTAATTGTTCTCTCAGCCGTGTTGTTCAAGTACAGCTACACCCTGCAGTCTACCCAGCAATATGGAAAATTGCCCAAGCATGTCCTGCCCTCAAAAATCAGGACAGGACAAGTCCAATTCAGCCAATGAATGTGTCATTAGTCTTCTCTCAATCAAAGAGATAGGAATTATCATAGATAGTGCTAGAAGCAGCGTTCACACAGCAATAATCTACTGACTGATGCTCAATTCCAGTTCATCATAGAATCCCAATAGTGTGGAAACAGGCCATTTGGCCCAACATGTCCACACCAAATCTCCAAAGAGCATCCCATCTAGACTCACTCCCCCTAGCCTATCCCCGTAACCCTTGCATTTTGCATGGCTAATCCACCTAATGTACACTATAGGTAATTTAGCATCGCCAATCCACCTAAACTGCACATCTTTAGATTGTGGGAGGAAACCAGAGCACCCATCAGAAACCCATACAGACACAGAGAGAACATGCAAACTCCACACAGACAGTCGCCCGAGGCTGGAATTGAACCCAGGAGCCTGGTGCTGTGAGGCAGCTATGCTAACCACTGAGCCACCGTGCCGCCAAATGGTTCTGCTAGGATCATTCAGCTCCTGAGGTAAATACAGCCCTCATCAAATATGTCCAAGAGGTGAACTCAAGGTGGTGTGAAAGCAACTACCCTTGACATCATCAAGGCTGCATTTTACCAAGTATGGCGTCGAGGAGCCCTAGCAAAACTGGAATAAACAGGAATCAAGAATAAAACTCTCCATTGGTTGAGGTCATATTTAGTAAAAGAATAGCTATGGTGGTTAGAGGTCATTCATCTCAGCTCTATGACATCTCTAAAGAAGTTCCTTAAGGCCCAACCATCTTCAGCTGCTTCATCATAGGTGAGAAGTGGGACGTATGCTAATGATTGCGCAATGTTCAGCAACATTCACAATTTCTTAGACGCTGAAGCAGTCTGTGTACAAATGCAACAGGCCCTGGACAATATTAGGATCAGGGCTAATAATTGCCAAGCAATATTTGTGCCATACAAAGTGCCTGGCAATGACCATTGCCAATGAGAGAATATAAAAATCTCCCAACGTAATTCAACAGTATTGCCATTGCTGAGTTCCACCCACAATCAACACCTTCAGGATTATTATATTGACACGAAACTAAACTAGATCAGTCACATAAATACAGAATTGACAAAGGAGGTCAAAAGGCTGGCAATTCTGCAGTGAGTAACTCTCCTATATCATTAAAGCCTGTCCACCATCTACAGGGCGCAAGTTGATAATGTCTTGTCAATCAATTTCTTAAAATTTGTGAATGGATTGTTAAAGTTAAAAGAAACAAGTGGTGGATATTAATTGTCTGACCACATAAGACATAACACTGGAGTGTTGAAAGATAACTGCACGACTAGGCAAATCAATAAAATCTCCACAAAATCAAGCTGTATTTTGTTTTGTTTATTATCTCACCAACTGACTTGAAGTTGATTTACATAAGCCAGGACTGTGATAGAATATCCAGGTACACCCACAACCACCCCCACTGGCCTGGACTAGTAGGCCATCTACAAGATGCACTGCAGCAAATCATCAAGGCTCCTTCAACAGCACCATCCAAACCAATGGACTCAACCACTTAGAACGATGAGGGTAACAGGGGCATAAGAACACCACCATCCACAAGTTTCCTTCCAAGCCACACACCACCCTGACTTGAAACAATATGGCCATTTCCTCACTGTCACCAGGTCAATGTCCTGGAACTTCCCTAATAACAACATTTACATAAAATTTTGTGTGGCTGAAGGCAGTGGCTCACTACCACCTTTTCAAGGGTAATTAGAGACAGGTAATAAATACTAGCTTACTACTAACATCAACAAGCCATGGAATAATAAAAATATTGGTAAGGCAAGTAGAATATGACACAGTACCTTACAAGAAAGGAAAAAAAACAATTCAACTGTAAGAAAAAATTACATTTCCTGGAATTGGAAGTTTAAGGGATGATTTAACTGACGTCTTAAAAATTTTGAAAGGAATCAATAGTGTAGAAAGGGAGAAAAATCGAAAAATCTTTCCACTAGTCAAAGAGTCTAGTTAAAGGGGACATAACTTTAAAATCAGAGCCAAGTCATTCAAGAGCAAATGTCTGAAGCACATCTTCATGCAAAGAGTTGTGGAAACGTGGTACTCCCTCCCAGAAAAAAGGACTAGATACCAGCTTAATAATTTTAAATCTGCAAACTATTTTTGCTAGAAAAGGAGATGAAGGTATACGGAGCTAAACAGGTAGATGCAGATGGAATAGAGATCAGTCGTGTTCTTATTGAATAGCGACGGTATAAACTCAAAGAGTCAGTTGCCTCCTCCTGTTCTTAAGCAGAAACTGCAGCAATCTCTCACAATAAAAGTCTTTTTTTCCCCAGTAGACTCATTGAGGGATAGTCACAGCACAGAAGGGAGCCATTAAGCCTGTTGTCTGTTCCAGCTATCCATAAGGACAACTCAACTAGTCCCAAAATCATAGAATCAGAGGCCATTTGGCCCAATAAATCTGTTTCAACCCTCCAAAGAGCATCCCACTCAGATCCTGCCCCCATCCTTTTCCTGTAACCCTGCATTTTACCATATCTAATCCACCTAGCCTGCTCGTCCCTGGACACTACAGAACAATTACAATTTAGCGTGGCCAATCCATGTAACCTGCACATCTTTGGACTGTGGGAGGAAACCAGGGCACTCGGTAGAAACCCATGCAAAGATGGGGAGAATGTGCAAACTCCACACAAACAGTGTGGAATCAAACCCTGATCCCTGGCAATGTGAAACAGCAGCGCTAACCACTGAGCCACCATATCACCCACAAAGTCCTGGTCCTTCTTCCCACAACTCTGCAAATCTTCTCTCTTCAGATACGTATCCAACTCCTATTTGCAAGTAGGAGCTATGTCCTAACAAATGATGGAATGTATCAAACAGAACGTCCCTTCTGCTATTTGCAACACACCGAGCACCGGCCAAACTCAAGAAATGCAACATAGAATGTGATTCCATGATTGGACAGTGCTTACCAAACAATCCCAAATGTGCTAAGCACTACACTAACATCCATTTAAGATCACCAGTTGGGCTCATAATGTGGCTCACTTAGACATGCCAGAATCTACATTTATTCAATGCCTCCATTAATCAGACTCTGCCTGCCACCAATCAGCAAACTTTCACATGTAATATAAATTGTTGCTCCCTTTGAAATTTGACATTCTCAAATCTGTCCTGATGAGTGCAAGATGAAAAATTTTGACAGGGCCTCTTTTTTTCAGGAAAGCTCAATTCTCTTTCAAAAACTCTAGCTGAATCTGCCTCCACCACACTCACAGGCAATACAATTGAAATACTAACCACTGACTATGGAAAAACAAAGCTTTTCCTCTTTGCTACTTTTAGAATTCCCCATAAATCTCTCTTCTGGATCGCAATCCTTATGCAAATGGGAAAGGTTTCTCCAGATCTGCTCTCTCTGGATCTCTTGTGATTTTGAGCACCTCTATTAAATCTACTCACACCCTTTTTTCTCTAAGGAGAACAATCCCAGTTTCTCTGATCTATATACAGGAATGAAGCCCCTCACTCCTGGAACTATTCTTGCAAAGTTTTTCTACACCTTCTCCAATGCCTTCACATCTTTCCTGAAACTCACTGCTACCAGCATGATCTGATACAGTTAGGGCTAAGATTGTCTGACATACCTGCATCTGTAATGATAGTCATTCTGATCTGTCAGATAAAAGTAGTGTCCATTCCAGGCCTTGGGGTGCTTCTCAGCCTCAATCCATGTTATCTCAGTGTTGTACCGAATCTTCAGGTCAAACCTGTTCGTAAAGTTGTTCAAGTAGTGCACCATGGTGTCAGCATGAGGAAAGAAATCTTTGGTGTAGTGTTTGTAGAGTAGATTGTCATCATGGCTCAGCAGCGAGTTCCAGTCATGCCGGAGGTTAAACTCTTTGTTTTGCTTCCCGGTGTATTGCTTGTTAATACTGATGAGCTTCCGGTGGCGGGGATAACGTACAAAGAAGCTCCCAGAGAGGTTGCTGCGCTCAAAGACCAGGTAGTGTCTTTGGGACTGCTGTAGAAAGTACGCCATCTGCAGGCCACCTGGACCTGCACCAATTATACAGTAGTCAAGGTGCAGGTAGTCTGTTCGTGCAGTTGCATGGGAAGAGGCAAAGGCGACACTCGCCACAAGCATGGTGAAGGTACAACCCATCCATGATTTTGGCATATTGCTCCTGGAATATTGGTACCTAATCAAAATAAGAAGAAGATATTCACTTTGAAGAAATTTGTTGCTGATCCCAGTGCAGTTCAGAGAGTGCTCCACCGTTGGTGGGGCAGTTCAGAAGGAATATCATACAGTTTGAGGGATTGTTCAGAGACAGTGCCTCAATGTTGGTTGGGCAGTTCACAGGGACTGTAGCACCGTCGAACGGACAGTTCAGCATTCAGCACTGTCAGAAAGGCTGTTCAGAGGGAATGCCATAATGTTATAAGGGAAGTTGAAAAGGTCTGCTATTCCGGGCTGTAGGAAGTTTGCATATTTAGTAGGTCATTACTAGGTTGGCAGTCAGAATCTTTTTTCCCAGAGCTGAAATGTCTAATACTAGCGAGAGGGGGAAGTTCAAAGAAGATGAGAGGGTCAAACTTTTTTTAACAGAGAGTGGTAGAAGTCTGGAGCGCACTGCCAGGGATGGTGGTGGAGGCAGATACAACAGGGGCGTTTAAGAGACTTTCAGATAAGCACATGAATATGTAAGGAATGGAGGGATACAGACCAAGGGCAGGCAGAAGGAATTAATTTAATTTGGCGTCATGTTTGGCACAACATCGTAGGCCAAACATCCTGTTCCTGAGCTGTACTGTTCTATGTTATGTTCTATGAGTGCTGCACATTCTGAGGGGCAGTACTAAGGCTAAGTACTGAGAGGGTGTTGCACTGTCTTAAGTGCCATTCTTTTGAATGAGATGATAAATTGTGTTTCCGTCTACTTCACAAGTGGAAGCAAAATAACCCATGGCCACTATTCAGAGACCTGTTAGATATAACTAAGCTGGGCCTCAGTCTAACATCTGATTGTCCAAGGAGATATCATTCACTATTCACTTAAAATGGCACTGAAATCTACTGATCTACCTTTACCCTATTTTGCCAATTTATTGTAGCCAGGTCTGCATCACATCCTCATAATAAATTTGAAAAGTCTCTGTCCCACACTTGTCTCCCTCAAAGTGAATATAAAATTCAGTCATATTATGGTTGTTGCTACCTAGGTGCACCTTCACTATGTGATCATTAGTTAATTCTATCCCATAGCAAACTGCACAGTGATGGGCCATAAACACAACGAAAGCTACCAAGAACAGGGGAGATGGGCAAGTATGATTGGGCAGTGTAAAACACTGGAAAGGTGGAGACCAGAAATTATGAAAAGTGTGAGGGTAAGAAAGAGGGATGGTTAAGGGACTGATTAGAATTTGCAGTTCAGTGGGTGACACAGTGGCTCAGTGGTTAGCACTGCTGCCTCACAGCGCAAGGGACCTGGGTTCGATTCCACCCTCGGGTGACTGTCTGTGTGGAGTTTGCACGTTCTCCCCGCGTCTGTGTGGTATTCCTCTGGGTAATCCAGTTTCCTACCGCAGTCCAAAGATGTGCAGGTTAGGTGGATTGGCCATGCTAAATTGTCTGTAGTGTTCAGGGATGTGTAGCTTAGGTGGGTCATAGGGGCATGGGTCTGGGTGGGATGCTCCAAGGGTCAGTGTGGACTTGTTGGGCTGAAGGGCCTGTTTCCACACTGTCGGGATTCTGTGACTCTAACTTTCCTTTGAGCACTGAGGCACAATGGCAGCATTATGTATCACCTGCAAGATGTACAGCAGTAACTCACCCAGGCTCCTTCAACAGCACCTTCCAAACCTGTGATGTCTACTACCCAGTAGGACAAGGCCACCTGCAAGTCACACTACATTGGAGTTGGATCTATATTGCTGTTTCTTCGCTGCAGCTGGGTCAAAATCCTGGAACTCCCTTTCTAATGGCCCTGATGATAACCACACATACTGCAGTGATTGAAGACAAAGCACCACCATCTTTTCCCAGCAGTTGGAGATGAGCAATAAAGGACGGCCTTGCCAGCAATGCCCAATATACCTGGTTTTGAAAAAAAATGCAAAAGATGAGCAAGACACCATGGCTGTGATTCCCCATGCACAACTAGGCCAAGCGAGAAAAGTCACTAGAATTGAAATGAGAACAGAACTAAAGAACCTGGGTCAAACAGAAGGAAAGGGTAACAATGCACACAAAACTAGGTGACAGGGAGGTAAAACGAGGTACCACCAATACATAGATGTAAATACTGATCTCATGCTCAGCAAGATGCACATATCAGGATGAAAATCTGAACCATACCAGAATAAATGCTGCCAAACAGGAGAGAAAGTGTGGCTACAGGTTTAATTCAGAGCTGAAGGAAGAGGAGTGAATAAATACCAAAGGAACAGAAGTTTTAATCTATATGGGAACAGTTTCCTAGCATACCAAATACACAGAAGATAAAATAAAACAAAGAACTGCGGATGCTGGAGGTCTGAAACTCAAACAGAAATTGCTGGAGAAACTCAGCTTGACTGGTAGCATCTGTGGAGAAAAAGCAGAGTTAACATTTCAGGTCCAGTGACCATTCATCACAGCAAAAGATAAAAGCTGTGAGCAAGGATCAGGGACACATTAGGGAGACTCAACTTTATTGTATAAAAGCAAATTTCTGCAAATGCTGGAGAAACTCCAAGTCAGGCAGCAACTAGATTGTAGACCAGTTTTACAACACCAATGTACAAACAATTATTGACTTGATTATTTGAAATTTTTTTTGTAATTTCCTTGACATCTAGATGCTGCAGTTTTCTCTTACTGGCTTCGTCTGGTATGATTATTTCTGTAAGCACCTGCAAACATATAACCCATTGAGTTCCACCATTCTTCCAAATCTGGTATCTTGAACATCCCTATTCTTGACACTCCACAAATGGCAACATTGCCTTCAGTTGCCTGGGGCCCAAGCTCTGAATGGAATTCCCTTCCTTAATCTCAGCATACCGGGTTTAAGCTGCTTTAAGATTGGCCTCTTTGACCAAGACTTTGGCCACCTGCCTTAATACTTTCAAATATGGTTTGGTATTGAATTTTGTTCGACAAGACATTCCTGTGAAGTACATTGGGACGATTTTACTACATTAAACCTCTGCAAATTAAATGATTATTGTGCAAGGCTACTTGTTTTCTTATACCAAACTAAGACAATACAAAGAGTATTGTAAACGTGTTATTACACTGACAGCATTCATTCCTCCCAAATATGCTCCAAGCTTACTGCTGAAGGTTTGCCCAGAGGCAAAATCCAGCAATAAATGGAAATGAATGTTGTGGTCATGCTGGAGCTGCATTTTGAGGCAGACAAGAATGGTCAGACCATTATGTCCCATTCACTCAGTTTTGAGGAAGGGTCACCAAACCCAAAAAGGTAATTCTGATTTCCATCCACAGATGCTGCCAGACCTGTTGAGCTTTTCCAGCAATGTTTGTCAATGTATTTTCCCTCTTGGTGGGAATTATGAGGGTACTGCTCAAGCATCTGTCCCCCACCCAGCAAGTCTTAGTACCATTGAAAAGGAGTGCAAAGTTAAACGAAGGGCAGAATGGCATGGGGTATGGATTATGGAATTAAGGGCAGAAAAAGGCTATTCGGCCCAACCAGTCCATACCAGTTGCAGTCAAGCTTCTTCCCAAATCCTTCCTCCACTAAATCTATCATTGTACATTCCTCCCCTCTTCCCCATTTGCCTGTCTAGCTTGGTCCTAAATGCATCCAGACGACTTCCCTCAATCACTCCAGGAAGGGAACGATGACAGGCCCATGGGGAGGATGGAGGATCCTGACCTGGACAAACAGGGCGGAGACCCCGCATCCCCAGTGCTCAGTCACTCCGCCCCCTCGTGTGAGCAGAGGAGGTAACAATCCAAAAGGCTAAAATTTTCAAGCAGCCAGAATCCCCAGGCTCAGGTGACCAACAGCGTCTAGTGACCCACCACCGGGATCGCGGCTTCTCTCCCGGACGTTTACCTAGGCCAGTCTCCCGTGGCAACCCTGCGTCATTGCGTCACCACGTCCTGCGTCAGTGCGTCACACCGTCCCGTGGCAACCCCCTGCATCGGGTGCGTCACGGTGGTCCCGCGCCGGCTGAATCACTTAGGGCAACCATGCGTCACGGCGACCCCGCCCCGCCGTTTCCATGGGCAACACGGCGTCTGTCCGTCATCACGTCCCGGGCTGCCGTGCGTCTGTGCGTCAGCGTAGCGTAGGCGCGGTCCCTTCACGCGGAGAAACTGTGCGTTCCAGCGAGAGAAACGGTAGCCCATGCCCTCTAGCGGTGTATTACTAAAGCTACAGAAGGAATGTCAGACCGTTCGGCCCTTCCAAGCCATGTTAGAGTCACAGACAGCACTGGGGTATTTGGTCCTTTGTGTCTGCGCTGGCCATCTAAAGAAGCAATTCACCTGGTGCCTCCCCCACCTGGCTTCTTTCCCGAAACCCTGTACATTTTCCTTTTCAGAATACAATCCATCTCCAAAGCCTTGATTAAAAACCTCTCCCCCACACTGAGACAGGACGTTCCACATCCTAACTGCTCCCGACATTACAAAGTTCTTCCTTGCATCGCATTGTTTATTTTGCCAACTACATCAATCTATAGCCTTGGGAAAAGTTTCTCCCCATCCACTCTGTACAGACCCTTCCTGACTTTGACTATCTCTATCAAGGCTCTTCTCAAACTTATCCTCAAAGTTAAACAGTTCCATCTTCTCCAATCTACCTACGTAACTGAAGTTCCTTATCTCTGGGATCATTCTTCTGGACTCTGTTTAATGCCCTCACAACCTTCCTAAAGTGTAGTGTCATGAATTGGACCCAAAATACTTCTAGAAAATACTGGAAATACTCAGCAAGTCAGACAGCATCAGACAGAAACAAAGTGACAGTTTCAGAACTGATGAAAAGTTTTCACCTACTGGGAACGATGGGGGGTGGGGGGGAGCAAAGGAGGGTGTTGTATTTGGCAGAGGAGAGATGCAGAGGGGGAAGGTGTGTGATGTGCAGAAATCCAGGGAATTGGGGGATTGATGTTGCAATTTGTAAAGGGAGGGAGTTGGCACCTTTTCAACTCACCAGACTTTGTAAAACACATGATGGGTACATAGAACATAGAACATTACAGCGCAGTACAGGCCCTTCAGCCCTCGATGTTGCGCCGACCTGTGAAACCAATCTGAAGCCCATCTAACCTAAACTATTCCATTATCATCCATATGTTTATCCAATGACCATTTAAATGCCCTTAAAGTGGGCGAGTCTACTATTTTTGCAGGCAGAGCATTCCACGCCCTTACTACTCTCTGAGTAAAGAACCTACCTCTGACATCTGTCCTATATCTATCACCCCTCAATTTAAAGCTATGTCCCCTCGTGCTAGCCATCACCATCCGAGGAAAAAGGCTCCCACTGTCCACCCTATCTAATCGTCTGATCATCTTGTATGTCTCTACCAAGTCACCTCTTAACCTTCCTCTCTCTAATGAAAACAGCCTCAAGTCCCTCAGCCTTTCCTCATAAGACCTTCCCTCCATACCAGGCAACATCCTGGTAAATCTCCTCTGCACCCTTTCCAATGCTTCCACATCCTTCCTATAATGCGGTGACCAGAACTGTACGCAATACTCCAAGTGCGGCCACACCAGAGTTTTGTACAGCTGCAACGTGACCTCATGGCTCCGAAACTCAATCCCTCTACCAATAAAACCTAACATACTGTACGCCTTCTTAACAACACTATGAACCTGGGTGGCAACGTTCAGTGATCTATGCACATGGACACCGAGATCTTTCTGCTCATCCACACTACCAAGAATCTTACCATTAGCCCAGTACTCTGTATTCCTGTTACTCCTTCCAAAGTGAATCACCTCACACTTTTCCGCATTAAACTCCATTTGCCACCTCTCAGCCCAGCTCTGCAGCTTATCTATGTCCCTCTGTAACCTGCAACATCCTTCCGCACTATCCACAACTCCACCAACTTTGGTGTCATCCGCAAATTTACTAACCCATCCTTCTACGCCCTCATCCAGGTCATTTATAAAAATGACAAACAGCAGTGGCCCCAAAACAGATCCTTGAGGTACACCACTAGTAACTAGTACAGGTGGATCCAATCTGAGTTAAGTCATAATGGGATTTATAAAAACACAAAGTCCATGATTGAGATAATGAGAGAATCTTTTTATTTGTTTTGTGATAAAGGAATATTGCAGGTTGATCAGGTCACAGAATCATAAAGTTTTACAGCACAGAAACAGACCCCTTTGGTCCAACACGTCTGCACCAACCAGATATCTTAAACTGATCTAGTCCCATTTGCCACCATTTGGCTCAAATCTCTCTAAACCCTTCCTATATTCATATACCCATCCAGATGCCTTTTAAATGTTATAATTGTACCAGCATCCACCAATTCCTCTAACAGTTCATTCCATACACGCACCACCCTCTGCATGAAAAAGTTGCTCGTCAGGTCCCTTTTAAATCTTTCCCTCTCATCTTAAACCTATGCCCTCTAGCTTTGGACTCCCCTACCATGGGGAAATGACCTTGGCTATTCACCCTATCCATGCCCCTCATGATTTTGTAAACTTCTATGCGATCAAACCCCAGCCTCCAATGCTCCAGGGAAAATAGCCCCAGTCTATTCTGCCTCTCCCTGCAGCTCAAACCCTCCGACACTGGCAACGTCCTTGTGAATCTTTTCTCAACCCTTTCAAGTTTAACAACATCCTTCCTATAGCAGGGACACCAGATTATTCTCAAAAACCAATGAGAGAAAGGTGTACATTTTGCCACAAGACCAAATTTCCATTGAAAGTGTCAGTTGTGTTATTCTTGCCATTTGCTGCAGAAAAAAAATTAAAATTAGACAATGAACATGCTTCTCAAAGGATTTTCGCTAATCATGAGAAGAGACTGAATAAAATAAAGGTTCATGGGTGCAGATGTGAGGATGGTGGGGACCGTGGATGAAATTTGGCTGAAAGGTATTCAACAAATCAGACACTGTAGAATTACTAGCCAGAGTCATAGAGTCATACAGCACAGAAACAGACACTTTGGTCCAACCAATCCATGCTGACCATAATCTCAAACTACACTAGTCCTATCTGCCTGCGTTTCATCTATATCCCTCCAAATATTTCTTATTTATGTACTTATCCAAAGTCTTTTAAACATAATAACTGTACCCGCATCTACCACTTCCTTTGGAGGTTCATTCCACACACAAACCATTGTCTGTGTAAAATAAGTTGCCCCTCATGTCCATTCTCCTCTCGCCTTTAAAATTATCCCCCCTAGTCTTGAAATCCACCATTCTAGGGAAAAGACATCTATCATTCACTTCATCTGTACCCTTTATAACTTTATAAACCTCTATAAGGTCACCCCTCGATCTCTTACGCTCCAGTGAAAAAAGTCTCAGCCTATCCAGTCTGTCCTTATAACTCAAACCGTCCTATTAGAATCCCACTGAGACCAGATGCAAACCAGTTCAGACCGGTTCAATCTTCATCCGGTCTGAACTGCTTTTTCCTTTAACACATGCACATTATGTGCTGAGAGTACATGGACCTTTGCTCCGTGCACAAGTTTTGCCGATTCATTGGTTTTTGACCCTCATTTGCTGAGTCATTGGTGGGTGAGCAAACTTTGCAGAGTCATGGTGGATTAAGATCCCACAGCAACAGGAAACTGCTGACTTACCCTTGGTCCCTAATTTGTGCTGTGTCACTGTTTGAGCTCAGGCATTTTATTGCATCCTCAGTCATGAGCTGTTTTTGACTGATGGCCAATTTCGACAAAGGTTCCTTTTGGTCATGTTGCAACATTAACAATCACCAATACAACAACAGTTGATATTGCAGCTTTCACTTAGCTAAACATCCCAAGGCATTT